GCATTCTGGTTAGTAAGCACCAGGCCGGCGCTCAGCTGCTCACGCCGCCCCAATAAAGGGGTCTATAGTCATAACAGTAGTGAGGAAAAAACCGCCACCAAAAAACCTCACTGGCTCACCACAACAATACATACAATGTACCAACTTTTGCTGCTGCGTTAGATTGCTTCTTCTTCTTCACATACAGTGTGACCAAACGGCAGTTGCGTTTGGCTGGCCTGAACGCCACTATTTGAACCACATTGCCCTAGCCTGAATGAGAAGCCAGTGCGCATACAAATCCTGTAGCACGTGTGGCGAGCATCACTGCACCGCACCACAAAGTGAGGGGAAATGAGCAGCCAACTCCAAAAAACCTCACTGGCTCAAACAGTACATACAATGTGACCAACAGGCAATTGCTGTTGGCTGGCTTGTTGGTCACTACTGTTTGAGCCACACTGCCATGCAGCTTTGACACTGCCATACAAATAAATGCCAGCAGTGTTGCTCAATGGAACGTGCATTGGCGACACGGCACACGTGCCGGCGCCAGCACCACTACCTGCCTTCCGAGGGCTCCGAGGGCCTATGCGAGTTGGTGCAGTTGCAAATGCGGTGCACTGATCAGCAGCACTCTAATGCGGTGTGAAGATCCCCAAAACAAAATGAATTGGCCTAGGACATCAGCTCAGGTAACCTGTATGTTGGCAGCACTGCTTGACCCCAATCATGTGGGCAGCAGAGCCTCTGCATCACTGGTGCATCACTGAAAGTTTCAGAGGTTGCGGTGAACAGCAGCCGTGTGACGCTCGTGGCAAGCCTCAGCTCCACCTGCACACCTGCGGGTAGCAACGCATTGTCTGCTGCACTGCCCTACATCGCCCCACCGCGTACCTGTGGGCAGTAATTGTACAGCACATCATTGTCTGCTGCGTTCCCCCAAAAAGCGCTCCACAACGCTGACACCAGCACAGCACCCGCGGCCGCACTCTCTTCATTGAGTCGCGGTAAATTTGCAGATTTGGACTACACCTGCACACAGGGTGACGCCGTCACCGTGACGGCACCGTTCTTGTGACGTAGCACCAACTCATGTATGACATCAAAACTTTAGGCCTGACAGCCCACTTCAGGAGTAGAGCGATCACAGTCGCTAGGCGTGCAAGCATGCATATGCCGCATGCTGGCGGCGTGTTTCTACGGCTGCCTAGGTACTCAGTACTCCTGCCAGTGACAATTGGCAGACAGTGACTGTCAAGCTGCTGTCCAAAGTGTTCAGTTGTTTGTTCCAGCTCTACCTGGACACATGCCAATCCAGTACAAACCTAGTGGATTCATTTCATTTCTGGTGGTGAGCTGCGTAACATGTCGGCAAATAGCAACACAGTCAGCACTGCTACATCAAATTTGCCTTTAAAGGCAGCTGGCAGTGTCAACTCATACCTACCAGTCGGTGCAGCAGCACAGATTTGGTGATATGTGGGTTTTTAAAACACGTTGCTTAGCCTCGCACGCCTGCAGGAGATTGTTTTTTGTGCAGCGCGAAATGGCGCTTATGTCCGCTGCTGTCCTCGTTAACAGGCTAGGAGCCACTGCGCTGCAGCTTAAAGCAACATACACACAAAATAGTTGCAACTTAATATGTCAACATGACGAGCTGGCCTATCTGCTGTCAGGGCTGCGTGAGCTCAGCCTGGCGTTGCATGCTGCACTGCTCGAGGGCTTCCAGACGAACAACGAAACACTCAGCAGGGCCGTCTGTAGCACCCTAGAGCGTATTTTGCACGCTCTTGAAGACCTGCGTAATCACGAGTACAGGTGAGGCCAAACAGCGCATTGGAAGCTGGCAGCGACAGCTCCTGGAGCGGGGGTCGCTGCCATGGCAACAATTGCAGGCTAAATGGATTCCATGTATACAATAGGCCACACCATGACTGGTGTAAACACAGCCATTTCAACACCAAAACTTCCCGCGATGAGTCAAGGCTCAACCGAGTCGAGGCCAGCGCTCAACCTCAGCCAGGGCACACAGAAAGTAAACATGCATGTATCTTGAACTTGCATTGCATGTGACAGCAGTTGCCGCAAACGGATTCGATGTCATGCTGACTTTGAAATGAGTTCATGAATTCATGGGCTGACAAGGCTCCTGTGAGCACTTTACGCACCCAACATGCGTCAGCTGCTGCTGCGAGCTGCGCGTGCCTGTGCAAGCCCACATGAGGGGGGTGAGTTTCAGCTAAACAGCTGAAATTACATGTGGTGCAGCCAACGGGTTGAACATGCGGGTGCTGCTGCATCCTGCAGGTGCCTCGCCAGCGGTCATGGCTCACCCAGCAGAGCAACGGCAGCTGCTGTCAGCCACAGCAGCAGCTTCGGCCAGTGCAGCACTCACCTGCGCAACTGCCATGCTCAGCTGGGCCAGGCCACACAGGAGCTGCAGTCGTACGTGCACTTGAGTGTGAGCATGACATCTTGTGCGCTGGCGAGCGGCGGCCAGGCTTGCAGGTATGGTGCTCCGCAAGGCCCTGGCGCGACTCATACTACGAGCACAACTCGTATTAGCAGCTGCAATAAGGTGCTCCGCAAGGCTTGGCACGACTCGTACCTGCAAGGCTTGGCACGACTCGTAGCTGCATGAGACATGCCGGGCAGGCGGCTACCAGCACGTGGCATCCGTACTAGCAGCTGCGTCCAGCACAGCGCTGAGCGTCTTGCAGCGTTGGATCCTGATCCATGTTGGCGCCAACGTTGCAACTGAGGCTCCGCAGCACCTGTGCGTGCTGTATGGCTTACGGCCTGCTGTGCATCATGTTGGCCTTCAAGTCATGATGTCTCCAAGACCACCTGATGCCTGCAGCTGCCAGACTATGGCGATGAGGGCATATCAACAACTCTGCCAGAGACTGGCGTACACTGCAGCTGATGATGGCGGCTTGGTTGCCTGATTACACTGGAGTTCCTTGCCTGTCCTGCGTGAGCCACACCATATGGGCTGTGGGTAGTAGTGCAAGTTGCTCCAGCAACTGCAAGGCCGCCTCATGCCTCATACTATGCCTGCCCAGGCCCCAATCAATCTGACTGCTGCTTCGCGTGTCGCACCTGACGTGCAATTGCAGGATGCAGCTGCTGCTGCCAGAGCCTGTCATCAGCAAGCTCTCAGAGCTGCACAGCATTGCAAGCAGCCTGGAGCTGACAACAGCAGAATCAGCAGCAATAGAAGAGCCATATGCAGTGTCCAAAGCAGTCAGGCGGCTAGCCAGGCTGGTGACAGGATGTCCCTCAGAGCAAATGGCTGCGTTGGTGAAGCTGGCGCACATGGTAAATGAGAGCTCCTCAAATTGTCATGCTGTTGCAGCAGCTGGTGGCATACCTTTGATTGTTGACCTGCTGGGAAGTAGCAACATGGATGTGCTGGATTTATCGGCAGGCATGTTGGGTACCATGGCATATGCAAGTCATGTGCTGCAGGCTGCTGTAGCCGCAGCTGGGGGTGTTGAGCGGCTAGCACAGCTGTTGGGTTGTGGGCATCCTGCTGTGCAGAGGTTGGCAGCAAATAGGCAACAACAGCAGCAGCATGGTGGTCCTGCAGTTGAGAATCCTGCTGAGCAAGCAGCCATGCAGCAGTTAGAGGCGTGTTTTGCACATTGCCACTGGTGATCTAGTAGTACTGTGTGTCATCCGAAGACGTCTGCCAGCTGCCCCGCAGCGGTATGTGTGTGTCCAAAAGAGTCACGTCTAGCAGGCTAGCTGTGGCTGCCTAGTCAACTCACTAGTGCTGCACACTGCTTGTGCAGGCACATTCCTAAGAAAATCAAGCAAGTGGCGGGCTTTCCTACTGCTTCCACTGCATACTTCACTGCGAATGTGAATTCAGAGTGTGGGCTAGTAGCAGCAATGCACGGCATTATGCAGCTGCAAACATCAAGCTTTGAAAATTAACCTATTGACTCAGACTCTGAGACTTGTGAGAAGCGGTTGCTGGCAGTTCTCTGGGCGGCATGCGGTTGACGCAGGCCGGTGCCTGCAGTAAACCAACTCTAAACCTCTAAAACGGGTAAGGTGAGCATGTAGTTTTATGGCCCTGATTATTGGTTCAACCAAATATGTTCTGCTTTTGTTGACCTTGAAGCAATGCAAAGTTTATCAGTTTGTTGACAGGCATGCCGCATGTTGAATAGTCCTGTACTGCCTGCTGCCAGCCAGGCCCTACGGCTATTGGAACAGATGTCAGTGATGCAGCTGTCAAGTTTGGCAGTGCCATCACTTATTGCCATAAAGAACTTTCAAATCTTGACAATTACAAGCTAGGCTCCTGGCCTTTTGAAGAAGAAGAGGGCTTACACAGTTTGTGCTTGTGGCTCATCCGTATCGAACACCTGCAATGGTGGCTCCTGGCCTTAGCTGCGAAGCGCCGCACTTCCCTGCCACATTGATTATAACAAGAAGCAGCAATCTAACCCAGAAGGAAAGCGAAGCAGAGTCACCCTACCACCCTCATGCAAAGCTGCACTGGGATTTGTAAGGGATGCTGGCTCTACAATGATTGTGCACATGCAGTCAAAAGTGAGAATAGCTCACATTGAGACTTTGTTGTATCAAACTGCCTAAATTATCCTACAATCACAACTTTTGTCGTATGCATGCATCACATACTGGACTGGGTAGTACTTTCAAAACTCTTGCACTTGGTGAGCTCACCTCGAGGGCAGACTCGGAGGCCAAAGCGCCCGCTGAGCTATCCTGCAGTAATAACATCAAACCACTGTGGTGCCACCAGCAGTGCAGCTGTGACACCGGCTATTTGCTGTAGTGCATGACGAGAGCACAGTGCATGACATCCTACTGGTACCGCAGGTGCTGCCTAAGGGCTGACCACATGCGCGCGGGCGTTTCCGAGTAAGCATCAAACGTTCTGCGGGAGACCTGCACCTCAGTCTAACGAAACCCATGTAACTCTCCTCAATTAATCAACGACACATCAACGGCTGTGATGCCCAAAATAAGCACACAATAACTGCCTCCACTGAGGTTCGAACTCAGGACCTTTCGCTTACGAAGCGAACGCTCTACCAGCTGAGCTATAGAGGCTCAAGAATGCACGCCACAATGAAATCAAGGTCCATATATTGTTTGTTGCGTATTACAATTTCGAAACCGGCCCGTGATTGATGACCTCAACTTGTTGCTGTATAATGTGCCTCTTGCATGGACTCAAGCTGCTGCAAGCGAGGCAGCAAGAGCAGGCTGGCCAGCTGTTCTGCCTTCTGCTCCTGCAGTGCCATCTGAGGCAGAACAAATTGTTGAATGCATGCTGGTCTCACGGCTTGGCTGGTATTTGTTGCCTGCAGGCAAGCCCTGCTCCATCAGGCGGCTGTCCTAAAGACAGCTACCGCCTTGCAGCTGCGTAATTTGCGTGTTGAGCAGCAGGCTCGGAAACGTCAGTTTGTGGTCCTTGCACTCAATACCTCAAATTCAGCAGCGACTAGGGATGGTGTTGGTAGTGTGACCGCTGCGCAGCGTAAACTGTGGAAGTTGCGCTGGGATAACCGCATCAAAGAGGTGTTCTGGCGTGTGGTGTTGAATGGTGTACCTACTGCTGCTCGAATGCCGGGCGTGCAGCGTGCTTGCTTGTGTGGTGCGTGTATGCCTGGGTATGACCACCATTACTGGCACTGCCCTGTTGCGCAAGCGGTGGTACAGTCCATAGTGGAGAATTTGCCTACAGCATGGTGCACTCGCACGCCTGGATCCTCAGCTTTAAGTATGCAGCATATTTGGCTCATGCAACCGCCGCATGGTGGGCGGAGTGTGCTCACATGCGTGTGGCGTGTCGTGTGTTTGGCGGCCTTCAATGCTATGGATGTTGGCAGGAGGGCAGCCAACCTACAGCATGTGCTAAACCGGCAGCATGACCTTGTTGCCAGTCCAGCAGGTGGCCCTGCCCGGGCGCCACCTGCTGACCAGCAGCTTATCACTCAGTTGTTGCAGCCTGCTACTCCCTCAGCTGCGCAACTGGCTCATAATGAGGCAGTGAGGCAGCACAGAGAGCAGCAGCAGCTACAGCTTCAGCAGCGGCGACAGCAGGAGCTTGATGAGCTGGTGCAGACGAAGAAGAAGGCGGCGGTGGCTAGGTTTTGGGAGCTGCTGGTTGACTTCATAGTCATCAAGGCGGCACCCTTGACCTGGCTGGATATTGTGCCAGCTGATCACCCCTTTTTACGCGTGGTTGAAGGCCGGCTGCAGCTAGCACCAAGAAGGGACTTGGCCTCTGCGTCATAGCATGAATTGGGGTTATTTCTTGCATCCTCTGCTCTTTGATCCGTTTTGCTACATGTGGTTGCATGTCTTGTGCTGTTAGTACTCTCATGCAGCCTGTGTCAGCCAGTAGGTGTGTTGGGCGGGTGCCATTGCCAGGGGTGTGGCCTTGTCAGACACATCAGTAGGGTGGCAGGTGCCTGTGGTGCCACGGCGCTGCGGGTTATGCTGTTGCTTTGTGCGCGTTCTAGTAGCAGAGAGTTATGATCATGTTGATCATCATGTTGTACAATGTCTTCAACACCTGAAGCAGGAGCACCGAGGTGCCCAGTACCTGCTAGTTGTTGCCATGTCTGCATGTTTCAATCCTATTTCGCTGACGTTGACACCTTTTTTGTTCCGTCCTGATGACTTTTCTCTGCGCAGAGTTTGTGTTATTTTGGGTGAGGAAGCTGCAAATTGCTTCTCTGAGGCTTTTTGCGGTTTATTCTCGTGTCCTGCGCGCTGCAGTCCTCGAAGTGTTCCATTTCCAACGTGCACACCCATGTAACTCTCCTCAATCTCAATCTCAAGGCCCGTCTAGTAGCAGAGAGTTATGATCATGTTGATCATCATGTTGTACAATGTCTTCAACACCTGAAGCAGGAGCACCGAGGTGCCCAGTACCTGCTAGTTGTTGCCATGTCTGCATGTTCCAATCCTATTTCGCTGACGTTGACACCTTTTTGTTCCGTCCTGATGATTTTTCTCTGCGCAGAGTTTGTGTTATTTTGGGTGAGGAAGCTGCAAATTGCTTCTCTGAGGCTTTTTGTGGTTTATTCTCGTGTCCTGCGCGCTGCAGTCCTCGAAGTGTTCCGTTTCCAACGTGCACACCCATGTAACTCTCCTCAATCAATCGGCCCGCACAGAGAGCAGCAGCAGCTACAGCTTCAGCAGCGGCGACAGCAGGAGCTTGATGAGCTGGTGCAGACGAAGAAGAAGAAGGCGGTGGCTAGGTTTTGGGAGCTGCTGGTTGACTTCATAGTCATCAAGGCGGCACCCTTGACCTGGCTGGATATTGTGCCAGCTGATCACCCCTTTTTACGCGTGGTTGAAGGCCGGCTGCAGCTAGCACCAAGAAGGGACTTGGCCTCTGCGTCATAGCATGAATTGGGGTTATTTCTTGCATCCTCTGCTCTTTGATCCGTTTTGCTACATGTGGTTGCATGTCTTGTGCTGTTAGTACTCTCATGCAGCCTGTGTCAGCCAGTAGGTGTGTTGGGCGGGTGCCATTGCCAGGGGTGTGGCCTTGTCAGACACATCAGTAGGGTGGCAGGTGCCTGTGGTGCCACGGCGCTGCGGGTTATGCTGTTGCTTTGTGCGCGTTCTAGTAGCAGAGAGTTATGATCATGTTGATCATCATGTTGTACAATGTCTTCAACACCTGAAGCAGGAGCACCGAGGTGCCCAGTACCTGCTAGTTGTTGCCATGTCTGCATGTTTCAATCCTATTTCGCTGACGTTGACACCTTTTTTGTTCCGTCCTGATGACTTTTCTCTGCGCAGAGTTTGTGTTATTTTGGGTGAGGAAGCTGCAAATTGCTTCTCTGAGGCTTTTTGCGGTTTATTCTCGTGTCCTGCGCGCTGCAGTCCTCGAAGTGTTCCGTTTCCAACGTGCACACCCATGTAACTCTCCTCAATCAAATCAAAAGGCCCGCTCATACACTTTTTACTCCGAGGCGAACGGGCATATGGCCAGGCTGGACCGCTTTTATGTGGGCTCTGCAATGGCCGGCAGTGTGGTTGCTTGCTGGCATGTGCCATCCTCACTCTCCGACCATCATCCTGTGGTCATGGACTTGTTGTGTGCCGTTCCCCCTCAGCCAATTGGCCCGGGTGTGAGGCGGGCGAAATTTGACTTTTGGGATAGCAGCAATCACAAATGTCAGTTCAAGCACTGGTTGCGCAGGGAACTGGAGGGCATGCCTACGGGCGATGTGGCTCTGTTGCAGTGGTGGCCGGGGTTCAAGAAGAAGGCCTTGTGGATGGCCGGAACTGTGCGCAAACGCTGGCGTACAGACACAGCACCGCGGTCCTTTGCTCTGCTGCAGCAGCAGGTAGCAGCCGCAGTGGAGCAGCTTGGCAACTTGCCTGCGGCCGCCAGTCAGCAACAGGCCGATGCTGCTGTGGCAGCAGTAGCAGCAGCCAGAGGCGCATTGAGGGACGCACAAACAGCAGCTTGGGCCAACAGCTCCAGGGCGCAGCGGCAGGCTTGGCTTCATCATGGAGAGCAGCCGAGCTCACACATTACTAGTCAGCTGGCAGCAGTGCAGCGGGGGGGTCAGTCTCGCAGAGTGATTGCCCTGCGCTCTGCCGCCGGCAACTTTGTATGGGAGGGGGCAGGCCCTGCCTCAGTTGCGATTGCACAGTGGGCAGGGGTCAGCAGGCAGCCGCAGGTGGATGCAACAGCGCAGGCCGAAGTGCTGGCAGCAGTGCGCAGCCGCCCCCCGGCAACCTGCGGATGCTGACGGCAGTCCTGATGTGACAACAGCAGAGATCAAACAGGCGCTTGCGGCATGCAAGCCAGCGTCATCGCCGGGGTTGGATGGGTTGCCAGCAGTGTTTTACAAGCATTGCCAGGACCTTCTGATTCCTGTTTTGGCCCAGGTTTTCAGTGCTTGGTGCTCTG